TCATCATCATCATCATCATCATCATCATCATCATTATTATTATTATCATTATCTTTATCATTATTATTATTATTATTATTTTTATTATTATTATTATTAATTTTATCACCGATTCCATCCTGAATTTCTTGTAAAATTTTTTGAATCTCATCTTGTGATCCAGGATCTCTAGTGTATGACTTTATTATTTCTTTGGAAACCGGATATAAAAGATTACCATCGTTTAATGAAGTTTTCTTGTATAAAGCTTCTGCAGAATGTTTCTTATTTGGAACTTTCTTATCTATAGAATTTACATTTTTCTGTTTTATGTCTAAAGATACTAATTCTTTTTCTTCTATATCTTCAATTTTATTTTTCTTTATATTACTTCCGTTTTTGCTTCGTTTTAATACATTAGATTGAATGGACATTTTATCTGATTCAGTAATCATTTTATTTGCATTATTTTTAACTTCTATATAATTAGAAATATTAGATTCATCTTCATATTCTTGTAAATTATTTTGTTCAATATTTTTTTCAACTTTTTCTATCTCTGTCCACATAATATTTTCAAAATTTTCATATTTTTTATTGTAATCTTTGGCTGTATCTAACAATTTTATAAATAGATCCTTTAAACTAATTTCATTGTTACTTTCATTATTATCATTAGTTAAATCTTCCTTTTGTTTAAGAAATTCACGATCTTTATTTTCACTAAATTTATCTACATCTTTTTCTCTATTATTCATTAATATTTCTTGGTATATACTTTGCACGCTTTTACCAACATGATATAAAAGATCCAAATGTTGTTTAATGATTTTATCTTCGTCAAATAATTTTCGTAGTATATTTCGTAAAACAATACTATTATTAATTTGTTCTAAACAAAATGTTGAGATATTTTTAAACGGTTTTAAATTTGGTATTATGGATCTTATTTCTTTAAGTTTTGTTGAAATCTCTTTTGAATATAGGACTGTACGATCCAATTTCGTAAGTAAATTATAGTTAGTTATTGTTAGTTTATTAGAATTAAAAAAATGAGCCATCATTGATGGCTTTGGCGCAACTTCGCTTAATTCTTTTAAGAGCCATAGAATTTTTTCTTTCAAACTTGCTGCATTATAAACATTTGCATCGACACCTTGCTCTGCCATTATCAAGTTGTAATAACTTTTCAGTAGAAAAGTTCTAATGCGTAGTTCAGATTTTTGGTTGGATCCAAGGTTGTACAATTGATTTACAAAGAATTCTTTCAATTGTTGCCATTGTATCTCAGTAAACGGTAAAATAGTTAATTTTGAATTTCTTGTCATGTAAATAGATGGTACATCTGACTTAATTGTAATCCTTATCTCTCCTTCAAGTGAATCTTTAATAATTCGTGCAGATAAATGATTAAAATCAATAGTGTCCTGATGTTCATTCTCGATATTAAAATTTATATCTTCATGTAAATCATTTCTTTCAGTATTCTGTACTTAGAATAAAAAAGAAATTGTCTTTTAGTTTATTTAACATCATATAAAACTACAGTAATCCCTCAATTTATGTGGATTCACTATAATTCACTTGAGCTACGAAAGCAAAGATGTCACAACGATGCATTGCGTGAAAATATATATTCGGAGATACTCTAATATAATCTTTTTAGTAATTGCATAAACTTATCTGCAGTTTTGTAGTGGACATTGTAGTGCGATAAAAAATTTATAAGATTAATAAATAATGACATCAACAAGGGGTACTATTAATAATATGATTAAGAAAAGGAAAAAAAAACGGATAAACTTAGGATTTAAATTTAAAATTATCCAGACATTAATAAAAGATAAGAAAATTAATAATGTTATCTGATTGTATAATCTGAATAAATCCACAATTCGCACGATTAAACAAATGCTGACACTTTTCATAATTCTATTTATACACTGTTTTCGTGGAACTAATTACCCGCATAAATAGAGTGATTACTATACATGAAAGAAATCATTGTATAATACAAAAACGAACCTGTAATTTTTTATTCATATCAAGTAAAGATTTTAACGGGGCTTTTAGTTGCTCAAACAATGATAAGTCAGTAGGTGCTTTTAACTGAACTTCATCTTTTGAAAAATAGTTACCTATTGATTTAAATAAATATTTTTTTAATTATAAACAAATTTTGAATAATTTATATCTTTTTATAAATAAACTTTCTTACCAATGGTAACGACAAGTTCACCTCCACCTGCACTAATAGCTTTAATCAATTCAGTAGCTTCCACATTAAAAAGAAATACAACAGGTATTGTCACATCGTCTACTTCTTTTTCATCACCAGACATAGCAAATATTGGAGATGTTGCTGCACTAGTACCAGATACATTATCTAATACTATACCTGCTATAGCTCCAGCTTTTTGAATTCTTCGTGCCTGAATTTGTTTAACAATATATATATATATATATATATATATATAGAGATGATCACCTGATATGTTTTTTATCACTTATGCATTTATAACAAATTTACCTTCTCCATGAACATGCAATCACCACGTTTCATGATAACTATTTTATTTTTCAACTTTTCTGTATTAAGAAGATCTGTACAAGCTGCAAGAGGGTATGTGAACACAACTTTTCCAGTAACTTTATTAAAACTATGTAATTCAGGACCAAAATGTGCTGGTCCAGCCAATAATGTAACTTTTTGTGGCGGATAAGCTTTTGGTTTTATAAATGTAACTGCTTGTGGCTTAGTTTCTGTTTGTTGCGTCTGCATTATACTAAATTCAACCATTTCTTGCATAAATAATAAACCTTCTTCAGAGTCTTGTGGAGTTCTTGCCTTAAAAAATTAATATTTTTATTATGATATGAATATCATTTTAAATATTAAGTCATTAAGTATGAAATGTCCAATTTCGAACTGAAAGTAATCAGAGCAATCGGACGTTTTTATACTTAATGATCCTAAATCTAAAAAAATAAATTACATTAGAAATTGTATGCAATAATTGCACTCTTCCATCTGCTAATGTTAAAGCTGTTATGCCCATTTCACTCAATATTTTTAAATGTTCCAAATTATTAGCCTAAAATAAACATCTAAATTTATATATATTTATTTTGAAATAATAATACAATACAAAAATTCCATAATGTTACTTGAAATTGAGATGCACTTAATCTTCTTTTTATAGGACGTCTTGGACAAACATCTTCCACCATGTTTCTTAAGGGTTGCCTAACTGATGCTGGAAATAAGTGTAAACTATTGGGACATGTCCGATCAAATTCATCTACTTGAACAGAATCTCGTTCGAAGTCCTAAAGAAATTTAAAATATCTTTTATATTTAGTTCAAACAGATAAAAAATATTTAATGATTATTTAAAAGTTTTGTTGAAGACTCACGGAAGAAACATTTGTTCTTATTGAAGCTAATGTCAGTGGAAGTAAATGACCTTCAGTTGTAAAAATAAATTCATCCAAATCTAAGACTAAATCTGCTGGTTCCGCGAATAATAAATAAAGGTATTTAAATGTCTCAGATAACACGAAGCTGTCCATAGTATCGTCATGTTTATTAGTCCTAACATCCGATACAGCAGCGTAGCCACATGATACTCGAGCATATGTTTGAAGACTTTTGAGTACTTTACGTCCAACTCCCAAATAGTAATGATCACCTGTTGCACGATAGAGGAAATATGTTGATTCTAAAAATTCTGGTCTCAATGGATGATGTCCCCAATGGACCTAATTACATTCAGTGAAAAAGAAATCACATTACAATGTTTTAAATATTATCGTTGTACAAATATGTTGTAAAACCAGAAATACAGTAGAATCTGGTTATAATAATCACTCATAATGTTATTAATCGGTTTTTTTTATCATTATCAGTTAGTCCTAAAACAGTCTACATAAAATTAATTTTTAAAAATCTGTCTATTTTAATCAAACTATTGATATCAATTTTAATAATTAGACTTGAGAACGAATAATTAGAATTTATAATGACTTTGTACTAAATAGATCTTTTTTTTAAATTTTCTTTTAGATAAAATGTGATAGATCTTTCATCATTTATACGAAAGCATGAATAATATTTATAGAAAATATATAAACAGATATTCTCCTAAAGTGTATACACAATACTTGATAAATTTTTCAAATAAATTTTGTTTCATAGAGTTCTTTACAAGAAAAATAACATAAATACTTAATGTATTAAGTGTGCAGTTTGTGATAAATATACAATAAAATATACAGCGTGAGTCACGAAACGTGACGTTTCAAAATAATTCGTAAAATTATACATTGTATAAAAAATGTTTCTTGCATACTTAAACTAAATTAGGGAACAAATATAATGGTAAACAATACTTTGTTTTAAGGTCATTTTTTTTATAAGATATCAAGATCATCGTTTTTTTTTAAATGGAATGTTTAATTTGTTTTCTAGATTCTGATAAAGCATTCTTATTCTGCATAAAAAACTATAATATTATGTACTGCCTAAAATGAGTAATTACTAAAATATTAAAAATAAGTTATTCGGAATTATATTGCTAATCACGAATTCGTTCACAATTTGTACACAAATCGCGCAGATGTTAATTTAAAAAATATGCACTATTGGGATAGAGAAAATCCTCACTGGATGCGTGAGGCAAACCATTAATACCAATGGAGCTTAAATGTCTGGTGTGGTAAAATTTGTCACCAAATCGTTAAACCTTACTTCACTAATGGTTCGTTAACAGGTCAAAAATACTCCACGTTTTTGTTTGAGACGCACAAAAATCTATTAGAAGAAGTGCCGCAGCAAAAACGTTTGTCAATATGGTATTTTTAATACATGTACGGTAATAACTGCAGGAATGTTTGAAAACGTCACACGTTCTTTGATAAAAAAATTACGAAAGTGCATTGATTATAATAGGGAATACTTCGAATACTTGTGATAATAAAAATTTATTTGTGAATATTTCAGCTATTATTCATTTTAGGCTCTACATAGTATGATAGTTATTTATGAAGAATTTGAGAGAAGAAATTTAAAAAAAAAAGTATTGTTTACCATTATAGTTGTCCCCTAATTTAGTTTAACTATGCAAGAAATATTTTTTCGTACAATGTATATTTTACGAGTTATTTTGAAACATCACGTTCCGTAACTCACCCTTCTGTATGTTACGGATAATGTATTACTACAGGGCATTGTATAAAATACCCAATCAAGTAGGACATTTTATAGAATGTCCAGAGGGTTTTGGTCAACCTATAAAATGTTCTTCAGTTTGCTATGTTTAGAGCATGAAAAGGGGAGGTCGGAATGATCTTAGGAGAAAGAAAAGCTAAACTCTTAACAGAAACCGAGCACCACGCTGATTTTATAGTAACAGAATAATAGAATATATCTTTAATTATTAATAATAGAATTCGCGTATCTTTTTCTATATTACCTTCTTCTACTCTTACAACACACATGATAGTTTGGAAGATTAAGTTCTTATAGTCACGCAGTTGAAAAAGCGCGTGAACATGTGCATGAACAGTACGAAAAGTGAATTTCATAACTGTATGAACGCATACACCTGTCATGGTTTGTTACACTTACAATAGATTGCGATTCCCCCCCCCCCCCCGGTGCTCTGAACACACCCCACTGAAGCACATTTTATAGATTGACCAAAACCATCTAGGCATTATATAGATTGACTGAGCAATGTATTTCATACATGCTCGACATATACATTATCCAATTTAAGTGGCCATTTATAGAATATATACATTGCCCGTAACACATACAAATATCATAATTGTTTGTAATCATTTGAATTCAACAATAAAGATTTTCTATTTTTTATTTAATATTATCAACTGGTTATTCTTATCAACAATAGCAAATCTCAAAGTTATTATAATAGAACAGATTCTACTATATTTATCATTACGTATAATAATATGTACCTGAAAATCAGTAGTAAAAGCTTCTGGTATAAAATTATGTCTTTGCATGACTTGATAAAGCATCTCATGTGTCTCTACTGCAGGCTTAATGTCTCCTTTTAATACCTGCAAAAAGCAAGGTGAAATAGATTTTGATAAAAAATTGATAAAGATTCTATACGTACTTGTAAACCAGGCCAAAAAGCTAATAAAGCATCCATGAAATTTTTTGAATTTGTATTTGGTCTATGCATATGTACATCTAATAACATTGGCCCTTGACTCACATATTTCATAATAGCTTGATAATGTTTATTAAAACGTCCCAAGTATTTTTCATCCCCTATAGAATAATAAATATAATGTAAATATTATGACTAATATCAATGAAAATATGAGTAAAAAGATATTAAGGTTATACCTAATAAAATATAAGCCTTTAGGCAGTATTCATAGTAGGAGTCTATACCTGCTCCTACACCCGAATCTCTACGTACCCAGTCACCTGAATTTACATTCAATACAGAACCCATTAAATCAGTTCCTCTATGACGCATTTTCCATAAAACATCCATTGCTTTTTGTGCTTTTTCCTATAAAAAAAAAAATAGATATAAAATATAAGAGATTAATTTATTTTATAATATATCTATTTTAATAATGTCAAAAAAACTAATACCTCAAAAATTGATTCTCCAGTTAATCTTGACAAGGCAGCCATTTCTAATATCATGCTACCTGCACAAGCAGTACAAGTCTCTCTTGATACTTCTGTGGGAACACCTTTCATACCATATTTTAGATTAATCTGAATAAACAAAATCATATATTATTATATGCTTACATTTTTTTAGAGTTAACTTTTATAGAACAGTATTAAATAATCAAATATAGAAGATATATTACTCTGCCGTAAGGTATTCCAGTAGATGTATTAAATGCAGGTAAAAATCTGTATCCTAAATCTTTGGCTAAACCTAATAATTGGCCTCTATACCATGGCATTATGTCAGCCCTTTGTTGCAAATATTCAGCTAATAAGTGACCACTTAAAAGACCTCTGTTGACAATACATTTCAATATTTTTATTTACAGAATATTAACCACATAAGTGCAAATCAGTGTTTCCCAACAATGGGACAATGAACAAATCAATAATATACGTCATCATATCAGTGTTTCTTGTTAAAAATTTTCATTCAAATTAACGTTCAAGATAAAATTTATATTTCTTAAAGAAAGAGTAATTAGAAACAGTTTCATTTTTTATTAGAAATACTGATTAATGTTAAATTATGCCAGTAGCCGGGTTATTATAATATACTAGGACAGGGCTTCTCAAAGTGTGGGTCACGTAATTAAATTTAGAGGTCGTAGAAATTTTAGCAAAAAAATAATATTTCTGGACGCGCAACGACCAAAAATTAATTTAAAACTAGTTAACAATACTACACATATAGTATGGCTTTAAATTTATAATAGTGAAACAAAAAATAATATAAATTAGCTTCCCAAAGTGTGAGCCTCGGCGCCCTGAGAAGCTATAACTTCTTCACAGGGGCACTACAAAATATTATATAATTGTTATAATTTTAATTCTTTTTACGACATCTTATCAGTGCGAAGCTGGGTTTTCGGCAGTTGCTACGATAAAATCTAAATATCACGCAAAAATCAATGTGAAGAAGGAAATGAGGGTAGTAACTATGTCCAGTTTAATTCCAGGATTTGAGATAATATGCCGTGACCAAAAGGTTCATCCATCTCACTAATTATTATAATTAACTGAATTTGTTCAATTACATTTTTTTACAATCTATCATGTGTTTTATGTATTTTTACCTAACCCTTATAAAAAAATTATTACCTATTTTGCAAAGTGTAATTGTTAGAATTTGATATAGGATGCCTTGGGAAAATTTGGATTTAGCAGAGGTATCGAGAATCGAAAAAGTTTGGGAACAACTGTTATAGAGTCTATATCAACCATACTCAAACTGCGACAAAAATAAATTTACCTTCTTTTTTCCTTTAGTGATAAAAATTTACTTACGGCAACAATTAACCACCACCCAACCTCAATCTCACCCCCGCCGTACGGCCTTGAGAGCCGATCGCTGTTATAAAAAAATTAGTACGAATTTGCGTTAATACTAAAAATCATACTAATGTTTAAATAATTAAATAATATTAAATATATCTATGTTTGAAAACGGTAATTGTTTTCCATTCCTGATAACTTTTTCTTAGTTATCAGTTTTATAAATTCTTTTCTAACCGTGGAATGTTCGGCACCGTCCGCGGCTCCAATGTTGCAGCCTGTTTGATGTAAGAAACAAACGTATGCGGCCCACGAAGAAAAAAGATTGAGAACCCTTGATACCAATGATCGCAAAAATATTTGCTCTGTTAAAGGGAGTCACCAAGTGGAAAAATTTAAGAAACCTTGTACTAGGAAGTATTAGAATTTTGAGACATAGAGATGAGTCATGATTTAAAAAAGATTAGGAAACACCGGTTTAGATAAAATAAATCTGATCCAATTACCCAAGCATTCTGATGTTAGTTTCGAATAGAGACACTATTACATCTGTATCAAAGCTGACATCTCTAGCAACAAGCTTTACTGCATTTTCAAATTCTTCCAAATCACCTAACACCTGTAACATTAGTAGCTTAATATGAGGATATTCGATACTATAAGTCTATCCTTGTGTTAATAGTGAATCTTACCACAAGTGTATCTAAGGTATCCACTAATGTAAGGGAAAAACTGTAAGAATATATGAAAGAAATTAATAAATAAAAAAGTAATATTATTTATCCAAAAAATGTAAAATATAATAATAGATTAAAATACACTTTCTTACTTTCCTAATGTAGAATCAATATCACCTCTATTTGGCTCCGATCCTCTATATCGGCCCTTACAGCTTAATGGCATTAACTCATCCGCAGGATAAGCATTTTCCTATAATTTATCCAAATAATTACTCATTACCATCCATCATTGTTACAAGATTATAATTAACATATTCGCGTCTGATAACTCATGCTACGGTTACAGTAGACGCGAATTATCATGAAAAAAATTCTGCAGTAAAGCTCAGATTTATTCGTCAGAACAATCAAATAGGTTGAATGTTACGAAAGTGATTTTTTTGGTTGCAATCGTCTTTTCAAATAACTCAAGAACACGTCAAAATAACTTCATTCAAATCGTTTTAATGTTCATGCTTTTTCTGACATCGCACAATAGCTCGTATGACAACTATTGCGAATATGGGACGTTTTTTGTGCGAGTGAAAACATCGTATTTTAATCGCACTATGATGCTTTTCTGCAGAATTTACTTTCATTTGTTTCTGTCAAAATTCGCGTCCACTGCAACGTACCCTTATAATACGCGTAATACGTGTTTTCTACTAAGGATCAGTTAACACAAAATACGCAATTGAGATTTTTATATATATATTTATCTTATTGTCAGAAATAAATAGCTACGACATTAGATTGAAAATCTCTGATAATTAAATTTTAAAAAATATATATTATAATACGATAAAGTAATTTACATTCCTACAAATTTCCTTAAAATATACTATTTATTTTAAGTTATAGCAGTTTTTTCTAACGTAATGCGATTGAAACAAAAACCACGAAATCTTTCCAATCTTAAATAAAGTTTGATTCGAAACGCCCCGACATGAATGTGTTAACACGTTGACTGCCACGCAAGTTTGGCATGTTTGACGTAGAGGCCAAAATTCTAAGATAAAATATAAAACCAGTGCTTTTTTGTAGTGTAACACTGGAGCGTCGTTCCAGGATCTTTTTTTACGATATTTCTAATATTTGAAAAGGGATAAGAAATATTTAAGATTAAATAAAAATAAATAAGAAAGGAATAAAATAAAAAAGCAAATAATAAAATATGGCTTTTAGATTTGACCATGTTTGAAATAAAACAAAAATTGACATAAATTATGTTTAATTTTTTATGAACTCTGTGGCTTTAAATTTCATTTAAATATATATTTGAACAAAATTTTCTTTAATAAAAAATTTGACAAAAAATGGGTTCCGGCATTTTTTGTTTACAAAAAAAGCAATGTATAGAACAATATAGTAATACTGATCACAAATGACCTTCATGGCCCCATTGACAGAATAAACGCCGATCACGGGTGACTGACGTGTCAGTCAGCGTGTTAAACATAGTTTCATTTACCATATAAGCATTGTAAGCGTGATAAAACATATCCCTTGCTTCATCCCTAAAAATAATACAAAATTATAAAATACAATAAATAACACTTTCAAATTCTTCATACATACTTCAATGCTTCACGTTCTTCTTTATTCATATAATCCAGTTGATCGTCATCGGATGTAGCCATTAATGCATGTATGCTACATCCGAACATGAGCAATCCAAATAAGAAAGAATCACGAGCCATTCTTCATAAAAAAATATCTTCCTTTTTGTTTGTCAAGATGTCATATCTATGGTTAAGCATAACATTCTTTCAAACATATTTCAATTAATCCACTTCATTCACTAAATTTTATATCATTTAACACAATTTAAAGAAAATATTATTATGAGTATAAATCTTTGCTTAAGATTTTTGTCGTTAATACTTCTTTGCTGTATAATTCTTATACACGCGAATCATTGGTAAATTTAACGATATGCCATTAATGGAAGATAGTATAACATATTTATGTATCAACCCAAATAAAGAAAGAGGAGAGGAAGCACTGCTGATAAACTTTTGCACACGTAGATTGTAAAGGTTTTTTGGTTATATCCCGAAAAATTTGATTAATTTATCAAAATTTGATTGAAAAATCTATATCACTAACAGAATAATAAGAAATATAAACAAAAAATGCTGATGACAGTTGATCACGCATTATTTTCAGGGCCAGATGATGTGACCTTCGTTAATTTTTTCAAAATTTTCTACTTTGTAGCACTGTTCTTATCATCCATATGTTTCGATATGTGGTCTATATACTTGTTTTTAAGAGGTTATCAAGTGGTGTATTATACTGCCATTATGACAGCAATTTTATTTAATATAAAAAGACAACGTCTTTCGCGCATCGATTTCTTTCATTTGCATAATGTTTATTAAAATCAACGTTTTTATCTTAATGAACTAACCTCTCGTAACGAGAGTTAATCCTACGATAGTAATGATCACGTGATTCGGACATAAATTCATGGCGGTCTTTAATATTATCTTTTGAATTTTCATATTTAACAGAGATTAAACATTAACTTGTCATGAATTTTTTCTTCATCGTTTCATTTATGTTTATTTACTATTCTAATAATTTTCATAAAAATAAAAATAAATATTTGTGTAAAGTTCACTTTCGATTATTTTTAATTCAGAATATTATACACAGAATATAAAATGTAAAGAGAGTAAATGAAAAGAAATAAAAATATGTTCGTAGTATGGGATATTTAAGGCGTGTTTTCACGTGACAGTTAAAGTGCAGGCTATCATTAACGTAACATTGTATGACTGCAATATTTTGAATTCAACTATAAAATTGAACCAGTCAGCATGCGACTCTTTCCAACTAATCCTATTTTAGTAATTTTCATATAGCGCCTCCAGACGCCCAATTCAAAAAGTTCACTTTTAGCAAACCATGTCTCTACATATTATATTCATTTAATAAATAGAAGTAATAAACAACGGAGCTATATACAAGGAGGACGATCGAGATAGGCGTTTGCGTCGAATTTGTGTTGTTGAAAATGAGTGAATGTAGAGTACGATAATTATCCACGAGGGCGGCGGTGATGTTCTTAAGTTTAGATTTAAGTACGTGTGATTTTATAAATAAACAAATGAAATTAATAGTTCTCTTTGATGTTTTTGTTTTAATTACGAAGCTTCGTTGTTTTAATCACGAAGCCTTAATTTTTTTACAAATGTGAATTGTAATTGAATTTTTTGTTTAAGATGGTGAAATATTGTATTGTGGTGGATTGCATTAACAGTAAAGAAAACAAGTCAGATCCAGCGAATCGACGCGCTCTCTAGTGGCAATAGAAATCGTCCTTTCATTGTGAATATTGTAGCCACATTTATACATCGTCCTCCTTATATATAAGTTCCATGTAATAATAAACATTCATTCACACTTGAATGCACGAATTCGTTCTTGAATGCATGGAAAAACACAACAATCAATAGAATGTATCGATTTTTCGCTATGTAGAGTATAAAAATAATCTCTGAACAAATATTGATCTATTGACAAATTAATAAATATAAAAAGCTTCAGAGAAATTATGAATAGAGAGCGATATAGCATAAAAAGAAATAATCATATAATAAAGGATGATTAATGAAACCAGGATAGGTAACTGCTCTTTATTAAGTAAAAATAGAAAAAAAAAGACAGAGGAAAGCATCATATGGTATAATACGTTCTTTACTTCCTATTTTCTTATTATTTATATGGATTCACCGATATACTTGCCAGGTGCAATTCCACTTTATTCTTTAATACAATCCAATTTCTTTTTAAACCAATCAATCCCTCTTTAATCCTGCGTATCAAAATAATGTCATGGAAATATTTGACATTCTAAACTAGGGACGACAAACTTTTTTGGATGCGTGGGTCAAATTCGGCTTATCACCACTTACAGCGCTAATTCGTGGGTCAGTAATTGAACGAGGTAACCTTTGGAGGGAGGAGAAGAGACGGATCAACTTTGTAAACCGAGAAGCCAAAAAGAAAAGTCAGGAGTTCGTAATAAAATTGTTGTACTTTAGGTGAAAAACCTACTGTTGTTTTTTTCGAATAGTTTCGTAATATCAAATTTACATTCCGTATTCATTTATTTTACGCATTTTGCTGCCAATGAAATATTTCATTTCTAAGCTTATTTCTATCCGTCGATGTTACGAAATTCATTGTGACGAGAACAATTTATAATATAAAAAGGAATATGTTGACCAAAACATCATTAAAAGAGCATTCGCAAGTTTCTTCATTGATCTAAAATTATTTGGTAAACATTCCCATATATTTAATATAATATTTTCAATTTTTTGTATTGGATAATTATCGACGCGTGGGTCAGTTCAGAGATGTGCGTGAGTCAGTGTCTAACCCGCTGGTCATAAGTTCGCCACCCCTGTTCTATACTGTTACTTTATGGGGCATGCCTTGTACGCGGGAGATGAAATATGAGGAATACGACTTTTTCAGTTTTTTCTTAGACAAATAAAAAATAACTAAAATTTTACGAAAACGATCTTATGAACAGATGAATGTACTTTATTGAATAATAGGGTGTTCAATCTTAAAGTATGTAGAGTCCCAGTATTATAACGTAATGATATAAAATTTCAAATATCTCGTAAAATATTGACATTTCGATAACTTTAGATAAGAACTTTTATAGATTGGATGATAAAAGGGATTGATTGGTTTTAAACAAAATTAGGTTGCATTAAGGAATAAAATGCAATTGCATCTGGCAGGTGCATCGATGCATCATACATTTATATAAAATAAAAAACAGGAAGTTAGGAAAATATTATGCCATATGATTGTTAATCTTCTGTTAATTTATAATACCTTATAAATAAAGTTACATTGACTAACATTTTCTTTTAACAGTAATAAGAGAAAAACGAAACACGATTCGTTAATAAAACATTCGTGATTTCTTTTCCAAATCATTTTTCTCTTTCCAAAATGTATGCATCGATAAAAATTTAAATATTTTTCGTTCTTTCGTCATCGCAAAACTAGACACATATTCAGGATTTTATTTTATATTATGGAACACATAAGAATATATAAGTAATAATGATAATTCACCCTTTGCACTCCGAACGATTTTCGACGTTGGCTATCAGCTACTCAGCGCCATTTGACGGGAGAAACGAACATTTACAAACTCTCGTATTATTTATTATAATTGTGGAACTAAGTAACGTATTATAATGATATTGGACTTATATATATATGAATTGGTTGAGATCGGGGAATGTATATTTGCAAAAAATCAATATTTTATTGTTTATAATTTTGTACAGTATGATAAATTTTGAAACACTCCCCAATATGCATTGCAGGTTGATTAGTGCATGTTTCACAATAATAATTTGTTTGACTCCTGCCACCAGGTGTTTTCCTGTTAGAACACACAATACAGTCTCGTTTTCTTTGTCCCACTTTGGGAATATCTAATTTGTTGTCTAATCTATTGTCCGCAGAAAATGTGGATGGGCGCGTTCTCGATACACGAAAATCGCCCCTCAATTGGTCAATTAGTGTTTTGACAAACTTGTGGTGTGTCATTGGCGTTTCATTATTTGTTTGTTTTGAGATACGATATATTATGTATGAGTTTATCACACACATTTCCAACCCCCAAAAAAATAACTTTCTCCACCATTTCAACAATTTACGAAGGAAACAATACGTCAAAGCGTATTGATCCACACCACCCATATTTGCCGTATATCCTAACACCATTTCAGGTTTATTCACTGTTACGACATCTCCACCGCGTAATGTTCTGTGGGTAGATTGTAATTGAGTGTTATAATAATTCGTGAGCATAGTAATAATTCTTTTATCATTCCACGCAAGAAGCGTAGTATTATTTTTCCTGTATACAACTGTTTTATTTGTTGAAAATTTTGGTTTTGTTATTTGTGTCGGTACGCCTTTTCGATTAATTTTTATAGTGCCAGTAAGATGACAATTCATCTTTCGCAATTCTTCCGCTAAAAGGATGCTGGTATAGTACCTGTCGGTGAACATATGGTATTCTTTTGCATCAGGAACTCTGTCTAATAATTTCTTATACAAATGTAGCGTAATCCTTGTGCTTACTGGAAGATCCGGCCGGGATATATTATCGGTAGTTATGCTGCCATAGCATGGAAGTATTGTGAATAAATATCCTGTTCTTGAGTCCGCCAGCGCATATATGCGTATACCCTACTTTGTTGGCTTGTTCAGATTATAGGTGATGAATGATATTCTGCCTTTGAATTTTACAATCGATTCATCCACAGTGACTGCTTCATATGGTATGAAATACTGCCTAAATTTTCCATCTATATATTCTAAATAGTTGCTGACTTTTTAAATATGCGTTCTTATCATTGTATTTCCTTGCGTGGGTTTCTTCAAATATAACATCCAAAATATCTGCATGAATCTGGACCTGGTAAATGTTTCCGAAAAAAAAGGGATTCTACTATTGTCAGCAGTAGACCAGTATTCCTACATGTTGGGGAACTGAATCAATTCCATATTCAGGATGACGGCGATGAATGCTAAAAATTCTTCTTTGGTCGTACCACTTGTGCTTTTTGGCATAATTATTTGTTTCTTTTATTATACTGTCTACTAATTCTTCAGTAAAATATAATGTAAAATAGTCTATGAGCTTTTTTATGTTGTGGTCCGGCTATTTCTTCGTGTAAATCAAAATTTATCGTAGCTGGAGGAACGCCCGATTCGGTAACATCTTCCCACTCTTCACTTGACGATACGTTGTCATGTTGTCGGGTGTTTTCTTCCGTACTACTTTTATCGCTGTTGCTATCTATGCGAACTCTTTGTCACCTTCTTGGTGGAACGATATCACTTTCACTGCTGTCGTTTTGTTCTACAGTTAGTCTTTCTAACATGTCTGTATAGAGGTCTATCTAGAGCTCATCTTCACTAATATATGTGTCATGAGACTCACTCGTGGTTGGACGCTTTGCCATTGTTCTAAAAAAAAATATGAATAAATACATGGGTTGAAAATTTCTAATTGTTATTACTAACTCACAAGATGATATTTACCAAAATAGCTTTTACCAAACAATTTGTTCACTAAGAAAAGAATCACTTTTCCGATTTTCTCACTCGTTAGATCTATGTGTACTGCTCAAAGCTTCAAACCAGACTGAGCTCAGCTTTGGAAATCTTTTCCTCTAGATTTAGACTTGTTTATTTATAATTATAAATCTTACTATACACTGCGTGCTATGTTCGCATACCGACCTTTCTTCTACAAACTCCCCTTCTTATCGCTCTTTTCAAGTGGCGCCGAGAAGTTCTCTCACGTTCTCGTCTGACACAAAACCCGCTGACATTTCTTGTATATATCTTAGTAATTTTATGATATTTTGATTTAATTTCTTGTGCCATTTCAAGAGAAAAATTCAGGGAAACATGCATGTCTCAAAAAGTTGCGCTGAAATAACTTAATTCCCCATAGTCACTAATAAACTTGAATATTCCCTGAGAGTGGACATCCGAGTGCAAAGGGTTCAATTATCTTCTACTTCTTCTTTTTGTTAGGACTTCGTCCTGTAATACTAGCTTTTTTATTGCTATTTCCGGGGGCGTTTTATTGTTTTTACCGAGGGTAGGTTGCTAGCCTCACCCTCGAACCCTCTCCTTTGTCTGGGTTTGGGACCAGCTAGGTATTAACTAGGCGGAATCTTGATAAATCCAGTAATATTGTTATGACGTAGCTACAGCCAAATCTAAATGTAGGTCACACTTTGAATGCTGATAATTCGTATACGAGTTCCTTATTATATTTACTTCATTGTAATAAAACGAGCTTTCCAAAGTGTTGTTTTATTGTCCAAAATACGAAGTATGTAATGTTTCACATGAACAATAAATTAAACAAAGGCGGATTAACCCTTTCACTACTACGGGTGACTATAGTCACCCGCCACCAAACGACACCTGCATACGATGGGTGACTATAGTCACCGGTCACAAGATGCCACCTATACACGACGGGTGACTATAATCACCCGCTCCAAAAATGGAACCAAATGTTAAGATAAATGGTATCGCTTCGCGTACTTCTGTTTACAAAAAAAAAAAAAAATCTGGTCATATTAACACAACGCGTCTTACTGCAAGACATTTTCCATCACTTTATAAGAATAACAAGACGAAGAGAAAAAGTCCACTAAGAAAATGTGTGGTATGCAAAAAGAATGATAAAAGCCGTCAAACACGATATCATTGTGAGAAGTGTGATGTTGGTTTATGTGTATATCCGTGCTTTGAAAAATTTCATACAGAATATTATTATTAAAAAATTACTGTTCAATATTATGTTATCATTATAGTTCCTATATTGTTGTATAATATAAAAATATTAATTGTATTATTGAATTAAAAATACCTCCATAGAGAAATTATGAACACAAATCATTTTGTTTCTAAAAGTAATGTCACAAAGTCGTTTTTGAGACGAAAGTCTTGGCCCCGAATGCTAAAGACTGCGCGCGCTTAATGTTCCCACTTTCGGCACGGCGCTCCGTTCTAGACGAGGTACTCCGCGGTGAGGCCCGCCGTAGCGAAAGGGTTAAAACATCGAAATACTGATTGATTTTTATTAGTAAAATTGATAAATAAAGGAATGGTATTGATGTTATCTACCTGTCGTTCTATCGATAATATAGAAACCAAAAAACTACATTATGTAACTTAAAAACTGCTAATGAGGCCAAATTTCATAATAGACAATAATTGTATGATAGATGCAGTTGATAGGAAAGACTTGATTTTGATCTCTAAATACCATATACAAAACGTTAAAATGATAGAAAAATAAATGTGTTCATATTTGCCTTTGGAGTTAATTATACATATATCGAGTGAAATAGTTAAAACAGAACAGCGGAATATCTTAACTATTATTGGTTATAAGATGAAGAGCATCAGACTGATCTTTCTTAGTATCGAAGGTTATATAATCTGATGTTAATAGTTTATTTAATAAATGATCGTGTAGAGGACATATGAAGATATAGCTTAAGAGCCCATGGAAAGTAGACAAAACATATTTTATCGAAGTCCAAATTTCATCCAGTCAATCCCTCATGCTTACCATACATTAGAAAGAGACTAACTAAACTCGGTGGCGATTCCTATGGCGTCACTCAGGTAGCAAAGATACAAAATTTAGACCAACTTTAGAAGCATTTTTTTAAGGCTGATATTTGGATATTTTATTTACTATATTATTATTATTAAAAAAAATAATGGTAGACAATTATGACGGTTCAAAAGTTATGGCCGACACTTTTGAGAAAAAATCAAATTTCAAATGTATTTTAACAAATCTGAAATTTTAATATGTTATGTATTATAGTATTAG